ATCCATCCTTTTTTTTTTTTCGTTAAAGTAATAAAGTAATCAACAGGCAACTTTTCTATCCTTACGCCTTTGAAAGATCTCGGTTTTTTTTTACTTTCCAATGACAAGTCTAGGTTTATGTCCATCGGTAGTGTTACTGCAAGACATGATAGTGATTCTTTCCTTGCTGCTTTTGTGACCCGCCATTTTACTTTCATTTTCAAATGCTAAAGTGTGAGTGGGAAGACATTTCCACAAAAGTCCCGATTCGTCGGTATTGTAAATTTGTTCAAAAGATAGCTCTTCTTTTAAAACAAATTCTTCAAATCCATGGTGGAAATCGTTGGCTGCTTGTTGGTCACCACTAAGTTTCTCCCCATGAAGTCCAATTTCTCGAATTCCATGTCGCTGCTTAAAATGAGTCAACCAGCCAGAAGACACATCAAAATTTCCTTTTTGCCTTCGCCGCAATGATGGGACCATTTACAGGAGTACCCTCTTTTTGAACTTCAGCTAACCGCTCTGTCAGTGTGTCTAGCTCATCATAGATAGAACCCTTCATAGTTTTTTGCATTTTCATTGCGGAAGCACTGTCCAACATTGAGGCAAAGTTCACCAGTTTGTCTCCTTTGCTTTAGAATCTCACGCATTGTTGTTTCCGTGATTCCGTAATCCAATTCCATCTGCTGCCTTCTAGCGCCGTTTGCTACTTTGGAAATTAATTCTAGTTTTTGCGCAATCGTCAACACAACCTTCTTTCATTTTCCTGACATTTTAAATCGGTAATGAAAAAACAAAACCAAAAAGCACAAGCACTGACATAATAATTAACTCCGACTGGTTCACAAACACTATCAGGCTTAAACTAACAATGGCGAGTGGGAGGAAGTGGACGTGTCAGTAAGATTAAGACGAGACAGGGGGTGGAGCGGGCACTGCAAGGGTGAGTAAGAAATCACTTACTCGTCAGAGGGGAAGGTTCTGAGAAGGCCTGGGATATTTTTGGTATAAATAAGCACGATGTTAGCAAATGTAACTTTTCGCTAAGTTTCATGAACATTTTCATTTTCTTTGCTTTACTTTGTGCGGCAAAAAAAAAAAAAAAAAAAAAAAAAAAAAAAAAAAAACTTTGTGCGGCAGCCGCGGATAATCATGAGTCTACTGTATTTAACACCAGACGTTTTATTAGTCTCGGATCTCACTTTTGTGACTGTATCAAGTTTCAAATGCTATGTATTATTTTTAAAGGCATAATATAGCAATAAAAAGTATATGACAACACGTGTAAAAGGATGTTGCCACCAGTTGTTATCTTTATGTATTATTTTAAAGGAAATAAAGTAGTGAATATAGTAAAATATATGACAGCACAAATAAAATGATATTGCCACCAAATGTTATCACCATGTATTATTTTTAAAGAAATAATATAAGTAACATAAAAAAGTGTACAACAGCTTTTAACACTTTAACGAGAACTCTAAAGATATCCTACCTCTACATATAATAAAACAAAGAGTCTGTCTGTGTGTGTCTTTCATTCTCGCTGCGCGTAAACTAATATACCCACGGCTACGAAATTTGGTACATAAGTGCATCTAGACAAGAGCCAGTGCACATCGAAGCGATTTTTTTTTTCGAAATTCGAATTTTTTTTATTTTATGTATTGTGACGAAATCGCGTAATTTTGAGACATAATGGGCTATAGGAAAGCGAGATTTTACTCTACGCACTCCATTTTCACATCGTCATGAAATGTAAGCACTTAGCTATTTTACGTAGTTAAAAAAATTTTTTTGTTTCAATAAATCAATTAAATATGAATTTATTTAACAAAGTGAGCTTAACACCTTTTCAACGGGATGTTTTCTAAAAACGTTTATGTTTAAAAATGTACAGTTTATTTTTCTTTGATTTTTGTACAAGTTAAACTTTCATCCTTGCGACTGCTTATGCAAAAAGAATTTTGGAAAAATGATAATATTTTGCATTTTTAAAAAAAATTTTAAAGAAGCTTCCGAAACTTCTCACATCTCACATCTTTACAAATGTGATATTGGCAACAATTTTCCTTTCTTATTGTTGTTGATAGATTTTTGATGAAATCGCATCATTTTTAATAGTTTCATTCTTTTAGAAATATGGGTTGTCAACAATTTTTCATCGTATTTCTTATGTGACTGTTTTTAAGAGATTGGCATATTTCATTGCCATTTTTTATATATATAATACATTTTTATTGATTTTTTTATAAAGTTGTTCTGCAGAGTAAAATTCTGCACGGAATTTTTTGTTTTTTGAGTTTCTTTCATGTTATTTTTTGCTTATTTCACTGTTTGTAAGATATTGAAAAGTTTTGCATCATTTTTTTTCTTCAACGAAAAGTTGGTTAATTTTTTTTATTAGGATAATTAATATTTGTATTAAGGGATATAGCTTATTTCATTGTAGTTTTTGGTGCTACTTTGGTAGACGGTTGCACGGATTTTGGCAAGTTTTCTTTTGGCGAGTAATACGACTTATGATAAACCCATTGCTGGATAAGTTATTTATGGTAACCGATACTTTGTTGTCATTTTATTTAAAAAATAATGCATTTTATTATGCATAAATTCAATGTTTTAAATATTATTTATCGCTTCTAAATATTAAAAATCAATTTAATTTTGCATTTTTATTTGAAATAAAAATTTTGTTGTTTATAATATTTTATATAATATTATGTTGTGGATGATGTAATCAATGACGTCACCTTACTTAAAACATAATTGGTTTTATTAATATCTATAAATTTAATCTAATGTTTTAAACATTATTTAAGGCTGTTAAATATTAAAATACAATTTAATTTTGCATTTGTTTTAAAAATGATTTTATTACGAATGATTATTTAAACAATTTTAATTCTATGCGTGATGAGACATTTAATCAGCTTCCTGATTAGTTACAGAATATTTGTGCATTAACGAGCTGTATTAGCTCTCTTATTGGTTACTGAATTGTTTGTGCATTAGCGCGCCATTTTAAAAATTTTATTATTCATCTCTTTGAATTCCTCAGATTTCAAATGGAATGGATATGTCCGTTTCGAAGATGAATGTTTTTATTGGTAATTACCAAGAATTATTGGTATCGGAATAAAAAAATTGCCTTTTGAGAACTTATTTTGGCCAACCTGGCTCTCCTAATCAAAGATTTATTTATAAATTGTTAATAGCGTCAGAGGAAATTTATTTTAAATTTTTGGAGAAAACCTTGCTAATTGCTTCTCCAATGAAGTGCGAGAGATGTGGATCACAGATGAAGATCGTTTTTTTTTTTTTTTTTTTTTTTTTTTTTTTTTTTTCTGGTACTTATCAATATATGACAGGTAAAATACTTTAAAAAATGTAAGTACATAATTTTCTTTTTCTTTATAATTGTATAATTCAACTTTTATTAAAAAATTAATACAATGTTTTCAAAAATCCTGAGATATTTATTGCTACATATGTTTTAATGTTAAATAATTAAATCCTAAGAAACTTATTTTAAAGTATTTAAGTAATATTTTAATTCTTTTAAACGTTCGTATGATGTTTTTAATTCAATATTCAATTTAAGCAATATTTTAATCCAATTAAATGTTGGCGCAATGTTTTTATAGCGGTGTTTTTATTCTATTATATGAAAGTAATAATTTAACCTTACTTTAGCATTTTATACTCTTAGTAAATGTATTTTTTTACATTTGCCAGCCATCTTAAAAACAAAGTTTTCAACAAAAATTAATTCCTTCTTTTTAACGGTATTTATTTTTTTAAAGTTTCTAATACTTATGCATAAAATACGTAACTATATGCGTAAATACGTAAAAATATGTGTAAAATACGTAAAAATAGCATTTTTCAAGATGGCTGATGACCATAAAAACCGCGCCAACAATTGCGCCAATGTAAATCGCCAAAAATCCGTGCAACCGTCTACCAAAGTAGCCCCTAATTTTTTTCTCTTGAAAATATCTTTAATTATACTTTGCTTTTCAGAATTTTTTTTTTTTTTTTTTTTTTTTTTTTGTATTCTTTTATGTTATTTATTGCTCATTTCACTGTTTTTAAGATATTGAAAAGTTTTGAGTGATTTTTTTAGGAAACAAAGTTCTTAACCTCCTTTATACCATTTGAGTTCTTAAGATTTTGCAAAGGGAAGTTGGTTAATTTATTTATTACGATAATTAATATTTGTATTAAGGGATATTGCTTATTTCATTGTAATTTTGTTATACGTAATAACTTTTTTTATGAAGTTGTTCTGCAGAGTAAAATTCTATGCAGTTTTTTAATTTAACGTTTGGTGTTCTCTTCAGCCATTTTTCCGGTACATTTAAAAGCCAGACGAAGGCTGGCAGCGAAGCTGCTATTATAAAATGTTTTTAACTTCCATGCATCATTTTGTCGCCATTTGCCAAAATGTAAAATATTTTTTTTTTTTTTTATTTATTTAATCTGCCTATTACTGATTAACAAAATGAGGGATTTGAAAACAATGAATGAATCTGTTTATTTATTTTTTAATTACAGCTGGATCCATGAAATTGTACTAGCTAAGATTTATTAAAGCATTACGTATTTTTTCTTTTTTATAAAGTCTATTCTGGGCTAAAAATGTATGGCAACAACATTCTGGGGTAAAAATGTATGGCACTGTGTCAGAAATTCTAAAGTTATGCTGTTTTAAAAATTTTTATAATTTTGCTATTGAATTTTATGTGGCAATTTTAAGTGTGAAGAAAGTGATGTTTAATGATAAAAATGAAAAGACAAAGTAATATCAGCAGAAGTGAGTCCAAAAGCAGATAGATAAACTGTGAGCCCAATGAGAGCATTAAAAAAAAATCTTAACAAATCCTCTGGTGCAGTGTTAAAATCTGAATCTTTCAGAATTTCTTTTTTCCCCTTTTTTATTGTTGCTTAATTACAAAACATACACTGTTTTTGAAATTTTTAACTGACCTGCATTTTATCTTTTTATTTCTAAATAGCGAGAACCTGTTCTTAAGCAAGAACTTAGCAGAGACCGTAATCCAAATCGTTCTTTTCATTGGAGAACTCAGATTTGGTTCCCTCACCATTGGAATGTCCGTAAGGTTTTCCAAGGGGAATCAGAAATAGTCCCTACTGTAATAAGTCGTACATCCTCTTCACTTGCTCAACCACGTTCGGACCCTAATCAGGTAATTCTCTGCATTTCATAATTTAACATATTACCTTTAAGATTCTGTATTACCTTATATTTTCATCTGATTGATAGCTGAAGTATAATATATCCATATATTAAAAAAAAATTCTGCGTATTCTAGTAAATTTTATAATGCCTATAAAATTCAACAATTTTTAAAAAGAAAAAGCATACTTTGACTGCTGAACACTATAATTATTAAACTTGTATGAAATCTTTTGGAAACACTGAGTAAGTAATTTTTTTTTTTTTTACATTAAATATTGGCTACGAAAGTTAAGGAAGTTATCCAGAGCAGTTGCTGATTGTACAGAGGTCACTCTGAAATTTTGAAATTCGTGCAGATGATAAGTGGCAGAAAAAAATTACAGTTTGAATTGAAAATATGAACTATTTTAGCCTAGCAGATGACTTTTTATCAGCCAACTGCAAGTAGTTTAGATTATAATAAATGTTAGGAAGAAAATAAAATGGAGATGACATGAGAACATTATTGTGCTATGATTTTAATGTGGGATTAAATCAAGAATACATTCAACATCTACAGTTAACATTTGAAAATGAAGCTCCATCTTGTGCAACTGTATTCAGATGATTTACAGAATTTCACAGAGATTGCAACTCTCTTCAGGATGAAAAACTCTGAGGAAGGCCTTTGTCAGCAGTAATCCTGTATAATGTGTCTGCCATATTGAAAATATTTATCACTGATAATCACTGCACCTACCAAATGATACAGAAGAAACTTAGCATTGGATCTACTGCCATACATGAAATTGTTCATGAAGAATTGCATATGAAAAAACTAATTTGCCATTGGATTTCCAGGATGTTGACCACCGTATTATTTCTAAAATCGTAACTGGTGATGAAACACAAATAACATTTTTTGACATTACATTCCAACAGGTTAAAAAAGTAAAAAATGGGGCTTTGAATATGATTCCATGCCCACAATGGTAAAAAGACAACGGGCCATAAAAAAGTAATGTATGCCATTTTCTTCAGAAGTGCAGGACTGGTCAAAGATATGAAGCTGGGAAAACAGTCACAGTTAACTGTACACCAATAAATGTCTTCCAGAATTCTTCAAAAAGTGAATGTTAGAGGACTCGTGCTACACTATGATAATGCATCTTCTCATTCAGCAAGATCAACAGTTGAGGTTTTTGAACATTAACACATCAGAGTCATAGAACATCCACCCTATTCACCTGATCTAGCAATGTGTGACTTCTGGCTATTTTTTAATCTAAAAATGAACTTACCTGGATGTCGTTTTATTCCGAAGATGAGATTGAATGGGGCTATAAATGCACTTTTTTTTATCAATTCCTAGCAATGAATGGCTTAAGGTATTTAATCTCTGGAAAATTCGCCTACAGACGTGCATTGATGCTGGAGGAAACTGCTTTAAATACTCCTACAATTTCGTAGTATGACTTTTAAACGCCTTCGTGTATCTCAAAAATTTCAAAATGGCCCTCTTAATTAATCAATAGGAAAAAATTCAAGGGCTCTGTGCTTTTCAGGAGAAATGTCTTTATCTACAAGTAAGGGAAACTGCCTTGCATTTATTGAGTAAATTACAGTACTTCATGTAGTCAGCTTCTTCAGCTGCTGAAAGTTGAACATAGAATGAGGTACAGTATGTTAGGTGTGATTTGTTTTCATATATACATGGATCCAGCATTATTTGATTTGAAACTGTAAAGTTTTCCAAACATCTTTAAGAGTTATTAAGTAAAGTTATGAATATAAAGAGGAAAATTGGCATAATGCAGTTTTGTAATTTTAAGGTATACATCAAGTATCAGATAATTATTACTGGATGTAAATGATTAATTGCATACAAAAATTTTCTTAAATAATTTATGTGTTATAGTTATGTCAGTTATTTAACCACTTAATTTTTCCTGAGAGTCTTGTCAATTTGAAAAGTGTTGTCAAGTATCAGCAACAAGACATGCTCATCAGGGTTAAATATAGCATGGATCATTAACCCCAGCAACACCCCTGAGAAAAAGTCGCTTTGTGTTTTTTATGTTTTCTTATCTGCGGAATATATTTGAAAATGAAAAGAGGAAATTTATACTTTAATTAGTCATGCTTTCTCTAGAGCAAGGTTGTATCAGGATCATACAAAGCAAGTTCACTTTAAAAGATGGGAAACAGGAATATATTTTCTATTTTCTTTTGGTTGACACTGCAATGGGAACTACTGCTCATTTGAAAGCATGCCTTTAGAAGATTGTCTCTATTAAAGATAAGAGACTAAGGATTAAAGATTTCAAATAAGAGACTAAGGAGCTCAAAAACATTTTTCCCCCCTCCTGGTTAGGGTGATACTATTCAACATCCTTAAATGTGGCAAGTAGATGGTTTATGTTGACTTGGCACAAACTTCTAAATAGGTCTTGATAGCTGGTGAAAGAGGGAATAAACTTTCTATCTTAAACCAAGACCACTTTCAGAGACAAAATGTTTATTTTTAAGGGAGGGGAAGAAATGTAGCAAATAGTGATGGTGAAGTGGTTAAAATGTCAAAGATGCTAAATTTTACTTACTGCTATGATCCTCTGTGTTCCAGGAATGTATAAATTGATCAAATAGTTTTATTTAGGTTTATGCATATTGTAAATGCAACAAGTAGATAAAATAGTAGTAGAATATAGTGATAATTCTTAAATAACTTTACTATCCTAGGTACAAACTTTTATCTTATATTCTTTCATATAACGGTAAGATGTCATACAACCTCAACACATCTGTATCTGTTGATATGCCATAAACTTAGAAGAAGGTAACAAAAGATGAACACTGGTATACTTTGCTGTCGCCTTTGATGGTTATACAAATATAGTCCCATGCATCCTACTGTATTAAAATCCACCTCACATTGTGGTTTGACAAAGAATGCGAAGGAATAATAAAGGATATATAAGAACTACATATTGTTGTGGGCTCCGTATTGCATTGAGACTCTATATTTGGAAGATTTATATAATAACTTATAAAATAGTCCCCTTAGGAGTTACGTATTATCAGAGACATAGCTTCCATCTTTAGTAGCAGTGTTGTAAATTATCCAATATTTTTTTTTTTTTTTTCCTTCTAGTTTGCAGTATCTTTTGTGTGACATCCATATTACTATAACAGGAGCATTTCAAGATAAAATTTAACCCATTTGAGAAAAGTCTGCGAGATTAATTTTGGGTGAATTAGAGGGTTGTTAGTCTGAGGCCACTGGATTGCCCTTTCTGGGCAAATATTCAGGCAATCCAGCATGATAGAGAAATGCCTGGACACAATAAATTAAAAATTGTACAGATTATCAAATCCTCCAAAGAAACTGATATTTGAAAACTTGAATCTTCATGCATTTTTTACTCTTGGAAACCCAACCTAAAAACTATTAAATGTTTTGGCTCAAAATTGGAAAAACATAGTTTTATTGAAGTTCACCAAAAGCAGTCAATTGAAAACAAACACAATTAATGTAGTTTGAGTGATACTTAGATCACCAATATGATCTTATGGCAAACCTAATTGGCACACTGCAAATGTGCTATAAATGCCTAAAATAAACAAGTGTTTGATTTTTCTGAATTTTCTGGAGAGAATTTACATTTCGTGTTCGATGTATATCTATATATGCTTGTAAAATATATCCTTCCATTTTACCTTTGCTTTTTCTTAAATACCTTAGAACCTAGAAAATTGTAAAAAATTTTAAATGTTACTCAGATGCTTTAAAAACATTATTTAGAGAAAAAGGTTCAAAAACTTTGAACTATGTATTTCTGTTATTAAATTTAATTTATATCTCAATAAATAGGTGTGTATTTTCAAAATCTGTGATCTTAACATTATGTTTCATTAAGTTCTGAATTCACATCTTTCTTCAGTTAAAAAAAAAAAAAAAAAAATTATTGTTAACTAAAGTGCTTTTCTTCCATCTTTCCGTTATTCTTTTATTATATGAAAGATCTGGATTTTAATTCAAGAAAATCTAGGACTCACCTCATCTCTAACAATAAGCCCTTTTATATAATGTTTGAAGCAGTTTATGGTAAGAATTGCATCATTGTGACAGTAGTTGAAAGTTTCCATTTTGTAATACGTGAGCTGTCTGAAAAATTTCTGACCTTGGTATGTAGACGGCAGCACAAAATGGGGGCAACTTGTTTGGGTGTCACTTGATAACTACCAATCAAAATTTCAGCTGTTTTGAATGCAAATTTTGTGTTTGAGAATTATTTTTATGAGTTGATGTGACCATTTTTTGCAAAAATGAAAAAAAAAAAAAATTGAGTATTGTGCTGTTATTAAATACTTGTTTTTGAAAGGTAAAACACTTGCTTGTGATTCAAGAGGAGTTGGATGCAGTATATAGGGACTCTGTAACATCATTACTATTGTGAAATTTTGGACAGCTGAATTTAAACTTGGCCGTACCAGCTGGGATAATGATGAACATTCAGAGTGGCCAAAAACTGCAACCGCTGATGAAAACATTGCTGAAATACATAAAATGTTTCTGGACGGTCATCAAATCAAGGTTAGAGAGATAGCAGAGGCTGTGAGCATGTTCAAAGAATGTGTTTACCATATGCTAAACCAAGATTTATATGTACAAGCTGACTGCACATTGGGTGCCACAATTATTTACTTTGGGCAAAAAACATGTCCAAATGAACATTTGCACCGCTCTGTTAGTGCAATAAACTGGAGTTTTTTCTACTGTAATCATTGTAGATGAAACTTTGATTCATCGTTACAGTCCAGAAACAAAAAGAATCAAAACAGTGAACTGCAAAGGGAGAATCGGGTCAAAAAAAGGCAAAAACTGTTCCTTCTGCTGGATTTATAATGAGATAGTTCCTTATGGAAGTGATGGCGACACTTTTCTGAGATAGGCATAAGCATAGGCATCGAATTGTCTTAATAGATTATCTTGAAAAGTGAAAAACCATTACTGGAGCATGCTATGACATTACTGAAGGCAGAAATTGCGAAAAAATGGCTACATTTGAAAAAAAAATTTTTCCACAAAGAAAATGCTCTGTCTCGCACCTCAGCGATTGTATTGGCAAAAATCCACGAATTACGGTTTGAACTGCTTGACCACCCACCCTACTCACCAGACTTAGCACCAAGTGAACTTTTTTTTTTTTTTTTTTTTTTTTTTTTGCCTGAGCTAAAAGAAGCACTCGGAGGACAAAGATTTTTATCAAATGATGTGGTTATGAACTTCTTTAGTAACTACTCTGCAGAGAAAAATTGCACATATTGTTTGGACACAGGTTAAAAGAATGAGAGTATCGCTGGCAAAAATGTATAGACTTATGAGGAGACTATGTCAAAAACTAAAGATAAATGATTTTCTTTGTTTGGTCAGAAATGTTTCAGATAGTCTACGTATGTCATGAATGCAAATCTTTATGTTCTGACATAGTACATATGTCATTACATAATGATTTGCATTCACAATAATAAGAATGATAATTTTTAAAAAATAGATGTGTGAGTTTAAAGTTAATAAATGTGTGAGTTTAAAGTTACACTTGCAGCCTTCTAAAGTTAGATATACATATATCACATTCTAGAATATTCACATTGCAGACAATATAGAGTTTCTTAATGGCTGTCTCATTACTTTTCTGCTGCATTTTGTATTTTTTTTTTAAGCATTGAAGGGTTTTCTGTCAAGAAAATATTTTATAAATGATGAAAGTATTATTTTGTTATTTGTATTACTACCGTAATTTCCGGAAGAAGGGCCGCATCAGCGTAAACGCCGCACTCGAGAAAAATGGCGGGAAAAAAATTAAAATTGCGCAGAAACGCCGCAATAGATTAAATGCCGTGACATCGTCAGGGCTGTATAGATGCAAAAACTCAACCTAAGTCCTGATATATGACTACAGTTAAGAAAAATGCATGAAATGAAACCATAACTCGAAAATAAATTAAAGGTAAGAAATGTGGAAAAAATATTTACCTTCACGTATATACTTATATTTACCCACTAAAGAAGTCCATATTTGTAATACTCAGACTATATTATAAAAAATGTTGCAACAACAAAATATTAAATTTGGATGACAAAAAGAAATTTTAAATTTTACTTACGAATTACAGCAAACTATACATCATATGAAGCCATCAAAATCTGAATTAAAAAGATTTAGTAAAGCCTGATCTAAGTCTTCCAGATCGTCACATTCATCCTCTTGGTTTACAGTCTCTTTATCTAAGGATATAATTTCAGCTTCTTTGAACTCTGCTATTATTGACGATGTTTCTACCGATTTCCACGCACTTCCTGCCCACTTTGCAATTTCTTCATAAGATGCTCTACGCATTTTACCGCTTTTGGTTTACGTATGCAATCCTTCACTCATCCAAACCCTCCCACCGCTTTCGGACTTCAGCTTTGAAGGATTTATTATGTGACAAATCTAACGGTTGTAAGATTTTTGTCAAACCACCAGAAATTATTGCTTCAGTCGTAGACAATTTTTGACATCTGGTTTTCACTGACTCAAGTAAATGAGCACGCATCGAATCTATTATCAATAACCCTTTTGGTTGGAAAAAAGATCCCATACGACACTACCAAACTTTTTGTAGCCACTCATGCATGATTGGCTTCAAACATCCTAGCCATTCTTCGTTTGCACAAATAATTATGTCATTAGGAAAATCTGCCTTTCGGAATAGTCTTTCGTTTAAAAATTATCATCGGCTTTAGCTTGTCACCATTTGCGGTACATGCTAACACACATGTAAATGACATTTTTTCATGCCCCGTTGTAAGCACAGATACAGTTTTTGCACCAGTTTCATCAACAGTTCTGTTGCAGGAAGAGTCGAAAGCTAACGGCGTTTCATCCATATTTTATTCTGCGACCGAAGAAGTTTTCTTTTGTCAATAATAGCTGTCACATATTTTAGAAAAGATGACTTTTTATCCTGCCAGTCCATTGGTAATTGTTGCCCGACTGTTGTTCTAGTATGCACAAAAATATTTTTTCTTTTCATAAATCTGCTACACCTCCTTTGAAATCATTTATGTTCATTTGTTTTGCTATAAATTTTGCTTGTAAGTGAATTTTTACAGTTGAAATTGCCATTCCCTTTCCTCGTTGCTCCTTTATCCAGTTTGCAAGGCTGGTAGTTCGGTCCGAGGTTCGAATCCCGTGAACGGGCTGGCTGCATGGGCGTTTTCGTGGTTTTCCCCATGTGTAACGTGTATACAAGCCAGTTTCCCTTAGAAAGTCCTCCACAAAGGCATCCCTCCCCTTAGGCAGATAGCCCTAGTGTGCTTTGCCATAATTAAATACACCACACCACCAGTTTGCAAGGTCGTCCTCTAGATTTGGCCACCTTACAGTACCACTTCTTTTGGCACGTTTCTGTTGTGGCATATTTTTAAGAAGTTCTTTTTCAGCTCTCCAACGTCGAATACATCTGTCGTCCGCTTCAAACTCTCGAGCTGCTGCTCGATTTCCAATTTGTTCAGCACGTGAAATTACATTAAGCTTAAAACCAGCAGTATAGCTTCTGTGCCGTTTAGGGACATTTTCAAAAATTTTCCGCTCCCTTCTTACTTAAAAACTATCCAACAAGTACTTGTACCCAAACCAAACTGATGGGATCTGTATCTGGCAGAATGCCAAGAAAAATCCATTCATGCTGAAGGGGAAATACGTCAGAGTTCGTTATTGCGAGGCAGGTGGAGTCATGTCCGCCTTTGAAAAAAATTGCAGAAAAGGCAGGGGTGGGAAGAGGATGGGTCCTGGAAGATTCATCGAATGGCAGAGGAGAGAGACTATTCGAACTGATGAGAATGTTGATTTGAAAGGGTAAAGAATGTTATTTTTCTGAGATCTCGTTTAGGGTGAATAAGGCATGTCGGTCCGTTCAAGGAAAAGAATGTAAGCAAAATAACGTTCGCAAAAAGCAACTGAGTGGTCTTTTGTGTGGGAACAGCACCAATCTATGCACAATGACAAGGCCATCCAAACTATGTACAATGACCATCATAGGAAATATTTTATTTTTAGTGCACCTAAACACCGCACCAGCTGAAAATTTAAGTTTTAAACACGTAAACGCCGGTGCGTGTCTTCCAGAAATTACGGTAATAATTTATTATAAATTTGAAAAAGAATGCAAATATTACCATGTTAATTTCCTTTTTTTTTTCCCCCATGACAGGTGTCAGTATCTTTTATTACATTATACTTTTATTTTGCAGCCAGTATATTTAGTGGAAAAGCAGCGCTTGCAGACAACGACCACCAGATCTACCTTCTGGAGGTGGATTAACTACTGTTACCGCACATATTCTTGGCTTTGGAATGCTATGTTTATTTTTGGAGTAAGTATGAAACTTCCATCACCTTTGTAATTACGTGAAATTAATGTGTTATCTTTGAGGGAGGGATATTACATATTGCTTTAAAAGTTACAATTAAACATTTATTGTTTTATTGCTTTAAAATTTCCTTTCTTTCAGGTTGTCATCCCATGGTGCAGTCCAGTTAGCTTAAGAGCATTGTTTTGTATTCGCCCTTTCATACCAGATCTGGAAGTAAATCAAATTGATGTGCGTATTCATCTGTTTTAGCATTTATGAATATTCGTCAAGTATTAAAAAATTAGATTTCAATTAATAAGCATATAAATAATATTGGAGAAAGTTTGGATTTGAGCTATGACTAGAGTTCTGTGAACTTATCAGACAGTACATCTGTTGAAATTATTTATAATTACTAATAAATCTGGTTTTTATGAATAGTTATATGTAATACTGAGTACAAGATTAAGAATAACACTATAAATCTATTAATTTTGTTTCTATATTTTTTATCTATGCTAAAATATCCAAATTATATTCTGAATTCAGATGGTAATTACTATGAGATAGTTTCTTTTGGAAGAACTAAAATTGAAGGGAAAGATCACGTTCCATGTCATTAAAATTTAATTCTCTTATTTTAAACTTGGTTGCCATCATTTTATCAGCATGGGTAGTATTTTTCTATGTTTGTCTTCTTCATTCTATAGTTTTACATACTTGACATTTCATGTTTCTGCTAATTTTATTAATAAGAAAACTTATAAAATACAAAAATGGCAATTGCTTTATTGTGTATATCTAAATGCTGAAGTATTGTACAGTATGGAAAAAAGATAATTTTAAACAAAAATTTCTCGTAGCATTTAGAAATAAAGAAAGCATATCTATTTGCTATAGTTATAATTTAAACCATAATTTATTTGCAAATGCAATTTTAAAAGAATTTTTTTTTTTTTTTTTTTTTTATTTTTTTTTTTTTTTTATTTAGTCTATTTAGAATAAATGTAAGCTTTCCAAACATTTGTTGTTGTTACCAATCTCACTTGTCTGACAATGGTCAGCACAAGCTCACAAAATTCATCGTGGCGAGAAGTCAAATGTGCCTGCCATTGGCAAGAGCTTTGAGCACTATATAGGTGACAGCCCAACTTTAGCTCAGTTCTGCCTCCAGTCTTTAGATGGGCACCATCTCGGGGTGGAGGGGGGGAAATCCGAGGGTCATTCGCCCCTCTTCCCATACCACCAACTTCTCAAGAGGACTATCTGCTCGTTGCATATTTAGAGTGCCTCAATGCCCCACAAACACATTTACATTTACAAACATCCTTGCCTTCTCCAGGATTCAAACCTGGGCCCTTCAATATGGCAGTCAGTGTCACTAACCATTATCCCATTTTGGCAGCTCTGAACATTTAAGTTTTTTTTTTTAATTTTATATTTTGATATTTGAAAATGCTTTACTTATGGTAATAGTCATAGCATAATAATTTTCTTATTTTGTTAAATGCTTTTATTTATCAAATACTTTTAGATGATTTATAAAAAAGTGTTATTTGTTTTTAAAATATTACTCTGTAAAATTTTATTTATTATTTCTCTATACAGGGTACATTATATCCTCGAAAGTCATCCATTTCTCATACACTATGCTCAAGATTAATTTTGCTATGGAGGCATATATCTAAGTCTAGAACTGAATTTGAATCAAGACCAGACACTGGTAACTTGCTTCTTTATAAAAGGAAGTGCAGCAAATGTAGCTGAATCATAATTTTGTATTGCTTAAAAGAAAATGAAATTATTTTTGGTCATTTTAATAAAAATGCTGTACTTTTTTATGATAATTATTGTTTATCACCCATTCTTTATTTTACATTTGAAGAAAAATTATAAATGATTTATTATTAGGTTTCATTGGAAAAGGATTTAGTCGACATTTGAATCGTATTTGGAACTATTTGGTAAAAGGTGCTCTGGGAACACTGCTAATTGCACTGTTTTTCCCCATAATTTGTCTTTCCATATCATTCCTGTCAATATGTATTGCAGTCTTTGCTCCACTATGGTAAGTTAAATAATGTATATATCTGTAAACATTTATCATTTTATTCTAAACAGTCATTCATTTTACTCAAGAATTTTTAACTATACCATTATATACTGATTATATGAATCTTTTTGGACCTGCAGCTCCAAATTAGAGTTTCTATTATTGAAACAAACATTGCAATCATTTTGCAAATTTTGTTCAGGTCAAATTAGGAGTTAAAACTAAATCAGAGCTTTCTTGCCCCTCTAACTACATCATATCTTCTGTATTTGATAAGCTTAGATCTTTATCCTAAAAGGCATTTAAATTTTTTTAGTTCATCTGGCACAGATGATTTAATATCATCACTGCTTAAAATTTAATAACAAAGATTGCATCAACATGAAAAAAAAAGGGGGGCTTTTCTTTTTCTGCATAAATCATTCTGATTTGTGTTTTGATTTTAAAGTTGAAGTTTTGGAATAATAGCATTTTACTGTACATTTAAAAATTTGCATTACATTAAATTTCTGAATTAAAGCGAGTCAGTTCAAAATATTACATAATCATATAATATAATATAGTGTTGTATAATGAACAAGCATGCAGGATATTTGCTCATGATCTGCCATAATTGTTTTCTTAATTAAACCACTTTAGCATTAAAGTAACTAGCCAGTCCTCTTCCCAATATTATTATCTAAAAAGTTTTATTATTATTATTTTTAAAGAAAAATTACATAAATTTTTATCTAGACTTCAAGTTTAGTGTGTAGTACATTATTTTCTGAAAAATAATTATTAATATCATAAATTAGTATATGCTTCCCAAAAAAACTGAGAAACAGAAATTACTAAACTTAGAAAGTCAAAATAGAGTTCTTGCTAATAACTGTAAACTGGGAAATCTTAAAAAAGAACCTTTTTTCCAAGTTAAATAAATAAGAATTATACAATAAAAGGAAAATATTTTCCTAACAAAAGAATATTCTTAGTTTTCATCTGTAAATAGTCTTTTTAAATCTGTACAGTAATATTTATTTTTAAAAACTTGTAAAAGTTATAGTAAGTTTTACTTTGAAAGCTATATCAGATATGAATTTAAATGTAAAATTAATTCAAAATAAATGCTTAAAGGAAGCCTCATTACATTAGGTGCAAAGTATCTAAATCTCAAGCACTGTTGTTTTAAACAACAAGAAAAGTTGATACTTTTCTATTTGTAAAAAACATTTCTAATAAGCCAGTTTTTTCCGCTAAGTTCAGTAAATACTGTAATCTCAGCACTTGTGAGAATAAATGCCCGGAATTATTAACTTTCTATAACTTGAAGGCCATAAATTTGTGTGCACCTAATTTTCAGTCATATTTTGAGAGTCAGCAAAAAGAATAGATTTGAGGTAGATATTTAGCAGTTTTATAATACTTTATTCTGTTGTTGAAATTATATTCTTTTTTCATCATCTGCATTTATGGGCATATCATAATTAAAGTCTTTCATTATTATGCATAAAAAATCATCCTTAGCTAAGTCTAGCTAGTAAACTTCCACATTTGCATTTCATATACAAATTACCAACAAAACTTGAAAAAAAAATCAGATGTAAAGAAATAGTCTTAACTTTCCTGAACCTGCAATGTTACCTTTGTTGGGTATATTAGTTTCCATGAATTATTATTCAGATGCTAATCATAGAACATTGAATTATTTCCAAAAACAAAATCAGTTTATTTATGTGAGATAAGGAAAAGATTTTTTTGTAAATAGAAGCTTGCTTGTATCATCTCATTAAACAAAAATCATTTTGGCAGACTGAACTTGGATGTGCATATTATAGTGCACATCTGGAATGTAGGCTAGGCTGATATCTTATCACAATAAGGTTAAAAAAAATATTTTGTATATGCAAGATGAAGGTGTATTTTTAATAGCTCTAAATTCTCCTTTTTTAATTTGATTTCCTTTTTCAGTCCTAAAAATAATAAAATGCTTATAAAATTTTCTGAATAACATCATTTAAAAATTAATACCTGTCAAATGATTAATGATTCTTGTAGTGAGTGATCCAAAAGTCACAGACATCAAACTTTCAAAAGTTTTAGAAGTTCCTAGGTATTAATAGCAAATATTTCAATGGCCATACACCCTATACTGTTATAAGTGATTATTCTTTAAAATTTTAATTCAGTTTATGCTGTTAATTTTAAAAATAATTTGCTTAATTCAAGATGATGATGAGTTTTTGTGTAGCAGAACAAATTTTTATGACTGAGCGTTACTTCAGATTGCATTCTTACAGAAAAGTTATTGAAGCATTTTTTAAAAAAATTCTGATATATTCCCGAACAAAACAGTGATTTTCTGCTTGATAACCTGATTTTAAGAAACTGTAAGCATTCATCATAAGAAAAAAAAAAAAAATCCGTCCTTCTCTTTTGAGTTCGGACATAGGGGACAAAGTTGCAATCACCAACAAAGCATTTTGTAAGACTGTATCGCAAGCAAATTTACACACTGCAAAGTGATGCTCAATCTTAAAATTTGTTCTGCTTAGTGTTTCAAGAAGCTCATCTCCATCTTCTACCAAATAAGCGGTTTTTAAAGCTAACTGCATAAACTGCAACTGAAAGTTAAAGTGTTACATTGCTTGTATAAAGATATTATTCATTGAAACAATGTGCCATTAATATCATTTTCGAATTTCTAGGAATCTGAAGGTTTGATATACATGACTTTAGATCAGCTAGTATAATGCTATTGCTGCACCTGAATAATAGCAAAAATTTTTTACCCAGTAATATTCATATGGAAACTTTTATAAACCAACGCTTACAATATGATCTTTGGTTATCCCATCATCACACACTTTCCCAACATTTTTAATGTCCTCCACCTCTAAAAAACTATTAATATGTTTTCACACCTTCTAAAGAAGTTTCTAAAAAAATAATGATATTTGTATAATCAAATTTTAATAATAAAGAAAGGTGAAATTTGGAAACTAAAAAATTATTAAAAAATTAACATTTGTGTAAATCTTCCAAAAAACATTAATGAATTCTTCCTGTTTATTGGATAACCTTTTTTTTAAATCATTCACCTATCTGTTTATGCATCCAAACTTTGAATTTTGTGTTGATTGGCAAAAAGGTACTAAATCTAGACTCACTGAAGTACATCATCACAAATGGGAAGAGCATAGTTAGTGACTTTTCACTAAGTTTTAGGAACATGTTCATTGCTCAAAATGAATATTGTTCCAAAGTATTACTTTAAAACTGCATTTCAAGAACACAATTTGTGTAAGATCTTCCTTCAGTTCTTTATCATCCAAATTGAATAAGTATGGGTTTTTAATCCATATTTCTGAAATTTTCAGTTTAGCTTCTTTAAAATACCATTCAATGACTTTGATAATATTTTCAAATGGTCCACAGTTTCTGCACATATACTTGAAATTAGAGACTTATTGTTATCAACTATTTCTTTGAATAATGGAAATTTAAAAAGATTCACTTTTCTAGCTCATCAAAACTAAAGTTGAAACTTTTCTTTGAAACTATTTATTTTCTTGCAGCATGTCAGTATGTTTTAATTTTGCCCTTGGATAGATACACACATTTTCCCTTGGACGGATTCATTCATATGAGTGAACATATTGCTCATATAGACTATCATTTGGTTGAATTGTTGTGATTCCATTTTTCCAACCAGTCTGCAGTCTCATTCCTTTAGAAAAGCTTTGACTTCTCTCAATTCAAAAAGTCTCATTCCTTTAGAAAAGCTTTGACTTCTCTCAATGTTAAAGCATCCCACATGACAGCCGGCAGACTTCTATATGGAAAACCAGAACCAAATGTTTGCTTCCAAATTCATCAAAGATTGTTCAGAGCACAACCCTTGATCAATTTGATGACCTTTACTGAAGTGTCAAGAACTTTTTTCATCTTTGGAGTTTTCATCTTTTTGATGCTGAACCATGTTGATAAAGAAAATTTTGGTACCTTCTAAGTATGGAATCTCTTGTTTTATCAGTGCAGAAATCTTTGATTTAATTCCTAGCATAGCAGGAACATCATCAGTACACACAGAACCAAAAATTTCTATATTTAAGTCATGCTTTATGAAGAAGCAACAAAGAAATCCTTCACTTAATGGAAGATGTCTTTTTTCTTTTGTGGTTGTTCTCATGTCTCTACAAAACAGGAAATAGTCCATTATGGCATTACATGAACATGCCTCACCAATGCAATGAGCTGATTGCAATTTTCATCTGTTAGTTTGTCCAGCTGGAGAGAGAATTTTTTAAGGGTCTGGTTTTAAAATGTCCAGTCACTAATTTGACTTGAGTTACTTTATTTGATAACAGCACACATTTAAGCTTGTCTGAGGCTTCTTTTTCAGAACATTTGTTACCATTTCTAATGCACATGGTTTCAGTAGCTCTTTTGTGATTGCTATAGAGCTTCTTGCATTTGGCCATTTCATTAATAAATGTGGCTGTTAGAACATAATAAGAAATGGCCACTTAGAATTTAGTAAGAAAGTGGCTATTCTGCCAGGGTGGGGGCATTTTTCTCAAGTAAGAAAATAAAACTTACAAAACTTACAGAACATCACTTACAAAAATATATCATGATTTTAAGATTGATTTTAAAACTTAAGGGAACAGCCACTTTCTTACTGAATTCTAAACAGCTCTTTTACTTCTATTCATCCCACTTAAACTCAACTTACTTAGCTTTAACTCATTTTACTAAAAAGCATTTTTGTCTTTAACAAGTAATAATTCTTACTTGAGAAAAATATGAAACACCTTCACATTTATTAATTATTGTTAATTGATCGGAGGTTGGTTTGTTCCCTTTGAAAAGTCAACTAATTTCCGGTTAGTGATGATAATTACTTAGTTTATTGATTGCATTTTCACATTTAATTATACCTTTTTAAAGTTTTTACTTTATATTTATTCAAGATTCATTTTTGATGTTTCCATTTTAAATTTATTCAAGATTCAGTTTTTAAAAAATGTTAATGAGTTACTTCATTTCAATAGAATTCTAACTCCTTGTCAAAGGGATAATGTATTAAATAATCTATTAGAATATTATATATATATATATATATATATATATATTTAATTAAAACAGTGGTACACACACACATTATATATATATATATACAGTAGTCATTAATCTTTGGTCATCAATCCATTCCAGATCCTTGAATGTGTAACAAATGAACTTTTTCAGTAAGGAATAAAGGGAAAATAATTAATCCATTCATGTAGAAAAAAAGTTTTGGTATTATTATAACACCAATTGACACTAAAATACAAATGCATTGTATAAAATATATACTGTACATAAATGAAGTACTGCATAATACTGTATGTAGATATTAATTTAGAATTCAAACAACAAAAATCAGCATTATATTTTCAAATTTTCACAAGACTAGTTTCGATGGTTTTACCAAGCAATCATCCTCAGCTGCCAAAGTGCAAATGAACGGGATATAGTGATTAGATAAGATAAGAATGGCTGGACATCAGTTAAGGTACTGGCACCATCTATTGATGAAACGAGAACTAAAACATAATTTCCATAAAGGCTGAAGGCAAAGATGGATTGGAATTACTGTCGTTAACTAGAACAGAAAGATTTTTTTGAATGTGAAATGCCTGTATGTAGATGCTTTTCAGATCAAAAGCAATTTTTTCACATGATCCAAAATCTCTGATCTTGGTTTGGTAATCAATTTCGCCCTCTTCGAAACATAGTTTATTTAATGACATCTTTGTCCAATCATATTTGATGCTACAGTATGCAGTAGCCAAGTCTTGGATATGTATGCCGTCTTCATAATTTTCAACAATTTTTTTTCACTTCCAATGGTGATCCCCTTCATCACTATAATCTTCCCATTAGCTTTCCTAAAACTCATAGTTAATGAATTTACAAAATATTTATGTGAAAAAAAGCACACAATCACTTGAAAAATTCAGAGTTATGGTGTGGGTTATTTACTGAATAGTAGCAAAAAGCATTCTGATGCTCATGGAAAGTTGTAGCATTATCTCAAAAGAGGTAAACAATTGTAGTGTGCACAGTCATATCTCAAGGAACTTGAGTTGTATTTCAAACAAATGTTGTATACTCCCCTCCCCCCCCCAAAAAAAAATGTTCAAACAGGACCTATTCCAATTTGAATGTAATTAAAAATGAGCATGTACTGGACACTAATGTATTTATAGAGAAAGGTACTTCTGTTTCAAATATTTTCAGTTTCCTGTCACTTCACTTTTTTTTTTTTTTTTTTTCATTAGAGCTGAGTAAACTAATGAAATTTGATGTTTTTTTCTGGATAGCAGTGCATCTTAATTTTGCTTGATGTTTTTTAAGTAGCATGCAATTTATAAATAACCTATTCTTTAGAGTAGCTGAAATTATTACATATAAAATAATTTACATCATATTTTTTAAGTATTTATTGATCTGAGAATTTCAATTTCACATTTTCTGAACATTTATCTGATACTATTTTCTTATTTTAGGGTGCCATCTGCAACATTGCTTTTCCACTTAAGTATGATATTTGTGTATGATTTTGATAGTCCTGGTAAGAAATATTTACATTTAATGTTCATGCAAAATTTGATGAATGAAAATTTATGTTATTAACCTAGAAAACCTTATCAACCTATATGTTTAAAACTTTGATATTTCATAAACTGTTAAAAAATATCAAAAGAAGAAATATAACATTGTTACTAAAGGAAATGTTAATGATTAAAAAATGCATAATTAGATGGGCTGAAAAAAAAAACTTGTCTATTACTATGCCCTAAAAAAAGTTGTCCAAAGCCTAACTATACCAAAAAAAAAGTGTTTTCATATAGGAATATACCTTTTATCATGCTTGCATCATGCTCAAAATTTTAAAAAATAGTTAAATTTTGCCATTTTTTATAATTACTAAACTCATTATTATGTTCCTAATGGGAATTTTCATGAGGAATGAGAAAAATTTTTTTAACTTGTAATTTCAAATTATTTATTGATTGCATAAAAAGCTCAGTTTTTTGGTAACAATAGCACTTCATAATTTCTAATCATTTTACTTTTCATTTTTAGTTAACAAACAGTGAATTTATTTATCATTTTGAATTTTTTTATTCAAAAGATTATACTTTAGTTAGTTGTTTGGAAAAATGCTGGCATAATACATCTTGATAAGAGGGTCATCCTAATCGAGCCGTCTGTTGTGTCAATGCCACACACCTTTCTAGATGCTTTGGTCACAAAATTGACACACTGTCCTACAGCCTGGATGTGACAATTGAGGCTTTGGAAATCCAATTACGAGGGTTGGAACTTTAATAGTGGCAACCATTTATTTACAAGGAATACAAAAGTGATTCATGTCACCATGTTTTACAGTCCTTCAATATAGTCGCCAGCATTGTGTACAACCCATTTCCAACGATGTGGAAGTCACAGAATACCTGCAGCAGCGCCTGTTTTGTTCATAGTTTGAATGCACCAGTCTACTGCCGCAAGAATCTCAGGAACAGTTTGGAAGCGAGTGCTACGAAGTGGTTCCTTCATCTTAGGAATTAAGTCATAGCCACAAGGGCTTAGATCTGGGGAGTATGGTGGATGGTAAAGCACTTCCCAGCCCCATCGCGTGAACAAATCAATCACAGCTTGCGCTGCATGTGGCCGAGCATTGTCATGCAAAATGAGAGGAGCATTCTGCAGAAAGTGTCGCCGTTTTTTTCTCAAAGCTGGTCGGAGATTGTGCTCCAAAAATGAACAGTAATTTTGCGCAGGGCGGTCTGCTGTGGGGGAATGGTATGCGTTAGGATGACACCATCACAGTCGTACACGAGAATCACCATAACTTTCACATTGCTGGGGTTCTGACGAAATTTCGAACGTCGTGGTAACCCGTGATGATGCCATTCGTTTGATTGGCGTTTCAGTTCTGGCTGGTACGATCGGGCCCAAGTCTCATCCAGCGTAATGATACGGCGTACAAAAGCATCTCCTTCGTGCTCCAGGTGAGTTCGGGCAGCATCATATCGTAGCCATTTCTGCATTTCCGTCAATTGATGTGGAACCCATCGTGTAGCAATTTTTCTCCTGGACAGGCGTTCCTTCAGAATGTGCAGCACAGTTGTATGAGCTAATCGTGTTTGTCTGGCCAGCTGACAAATCGTTTGGCGGCGATCACTGTCCATTAGTGCGGCAACAGCTTGCATGTCTGCATCACTGACACTCGGACGACTTGGCCGCAGCATGTCTGCCACTTTTGGCGTCCTTCATTGAATGCTTTCACCCATCTTGCTACGGTTCTGTAAGGCAATGCAGGTTCCCCGCAAGCCTCTTGAAGCCCTTGATGACACTGTCGTACTGTACGACCTCTGGCACATTCAATTTTTATCCAACATCGTTGTTCTTGTTTTGAAAACATCCTGACAGCACTTATTTTAGACCGCGAGCTAATACAAGGATTCGTTCTTCGCGTCACTCCGCATGCGCGTGACGTAGGCAGGACGAGTCTTTTTGCTGAGAGGTAAGGTAGGTATGTAGTTTACGTGTGGTATACGTAATATTCTTTGGTTTTGTTGTGTAGTGTTTTTTCAGCTGTGTTGCCGCTATTAAAGTTCCAACCCTCGTACAATAATGTTCCAGTCTTTAATATATTTTCCATGTCCTGAATTGTAATGTGCCTTAATAGTGCAAGAAAGATATTGCAACTATCCCACCAAATGATGTTGATGCAGTCTGTTGTTTTGAAGTTGAGGTTTAGCATGGTGAAGTATCAAATAGTCTTTCCCTTTGAAAGTGATTGGCAATCAGAACAGCTGTAGTTCTCTCATATATTTTTCATCCATAGATATCGCAAGGATCAAATTTTCGGGATGAGAAAAAAATGTATTATGCTGAATTAATGGATTGATGACTTGTGGTAAATTTTGAGTTAAATATCATGATGTTCTAATCTTTAAAAACATCTTTCAAAGTGTTTGACAATTACTAGATAACATATACCTGTATGCATCTAAATGGATTAGTGGTCATTTTCAAAGAATGTCCCTATAAATTGCGAATATCTTAACTGATATTTTTCAGCTCGTGGAAAACTTCCCATTTAACTATGTAGTGACTCTAGTGACTATTGGTAATTAACAAAATATAAAATGTTGTTTGGGCCAGAATCAGAAATAGATGGTTTGTACCTGGAGAAAAAAGTGTTTGACAATTAGTAGATAACATATGCCTGTGTGCTGCTAAACTGATTATTGGTCACTTTCAAAGAATGTCCCTATGAGATGATTCACTGTATGCTAAGAAATAACAAGAAACAGTTCAAAATCTTTCCAATTAAAAAAAGTTACATGCTTACTAAAGGAAATGAAAATTGTCTGAGTGGGAAAACTAAATAGAGTGAACTCATTCTAAAATAACCGTTTATGCTCTAAATGATTTAACCTTCTATGAAACTGGTTGCCTTAAAGATAAGATTTAATACCAAAATTTCATAGATATACTCGTCACTTTTAGAAAAAGTTATAAATTTAGGAAGATTGTTCACTGTACATTATAAATGTTCAAGCTGTAACCCCCCTCCCCCAAAAAAAGAGAAAGAAAGAAAATCTGAAATATTTTATATTACACCCAAAAGGGCATTTTTTTAACATTTTGTGTGTTACCTTTATTTTTTAAATATCATGTTCCTTTCAATTAAAACACATAAAATTCTATTCAACAGCAATATAACAAAATACTTTAAAAGAATTTCCGATACAGTCTCATGTGCTGGAGATAATTTTTTTTTTTTTTTTTTCTGTACAATGTTGCCACTGCTTGCTTTGAAATCATTGAGTTTGTTAATCAAAAATTCGTTAACGTTTTCCAAAATTTGAAATAGACAAAGCAAATTCAAAATTCGGGCTTCCAAGTGCCCATGTTCAGTTAGAAGACTACGTTATTCAAAATTTGAAAGCTCTAGGTACTGTTGGTTTTTCACAATGTGAGATGCATTCATGCAGATTGTTCATTGTTTAGTTTCTTTAAGTATTTGGCAATAATAATAATACTTAAAATACATGGCAATAACATTTAGAGGCAACAGTTTGAAAAGTAAATCGACACAAAATGCTGCTTTGAAATTAATAGCCCTTCTAGGCTAACACCCTTTGGGCTAAAAAATACAAATAAAATATATCTGAAAAAATTAAATAATATTCTTAAATTATTTATAAAAATATTTAAATGCAAAGTTAAGTGTAAACAAATTCTCTTTAAAGTGACCATTCACAATTCCAAATCTTGTTTTAATCTTCCATGGAAGTCATCATCTTAGAGAAGTATTGTTTAATAATTGTCTTTGTTTATATTCTCAGAAGAACTGGTCATCTTAGAAAGATAGTTACAAAGAGGATTCACTGTAATTATATATTCTTTATGAAAAAAACCTGCATATAAATTTTCTAGGTATAATTTTAAATTTCAATCTTCTCAATGAATGATGTGAAATTGAATAAGTTTTTGTTAGTATTCTCTTGGAGAAATGGCCAGAAATGACTAAGATGTAAAGTCACTGAACACTGATAGATAAACCCCAGCAAATGAACTGACTGCTTTAGATTTTGTGGTTTTCCTAATATATAACATGGATACAAGGCAGTTCTTAGAAAGTCTTCCACAAAGTCTTCTATCACCTTAAGCAGATATTTCTAATGTGCTTGGTAATAATCCAATAAATCTGTGGTGTCTTTGTAACCACTCAATGCTCGCAAGTTGCAAGAGTCAGAATTCTTGAACATGGTGCACAAGAGCTCTTTAGTGCTAATGGTAGAGAATTCTATTTGCATGAAACAGACCCAGGTTCTATCCAATGCCAATATAGTTTCTCACACTGTACTTCTGATTTGGACCCATAGATGTCACCACAAGCAAAGCTACCACTAGGAACATAGAAAGCATCACACAGAGGTGAGCAGTGAATCAACTTCGGACCACGGACTTTCCACAAATCCAAATTTTCTGCTGAAATATTATGAAGTTTCCTCCTGACATGTTTCGAATCAGCATTCAAACAATTAACTGCAGGCTGTATATAAAAATTTTAATGACATTTTAACATGAGGAATAAATTGAAATAAAACAAGCTTAATTTCTGCTAATAGAATTATAAAATTAACGAAGATTAAAGAAAATACAGTTTGATAATTAATTGAACAGTTTTAATATAAGTAACTTCATTCCGTTGTTTATGTTCCCTTTTCTAAATTTTTAGACTATATTTTTCATGAAAAATTGCCAGTACAACTTTGCAAATGAGATTAATTAAATGATGACTTTTAATAGTTAAGTACATAAATTAAAAATTTTATTAACTGCTATATTTTACATTAATTTTCTATTCATATCCAGCTTCTGAATGCTTAAGTTTCTGTCTTGCTTTGTAAGCAATATATATATATATATATATTAATTAATTAATCCAAAAATATGAAATATAGAGATGAAAGTATTCCTCATTCCTACTTGTGCTTACAAATCATTATGCAAATACACATTTACAACTTTTCAAACGTGAAAAACATGTCTGTAATGTTATCATCTGTAGGTGCTTTATTTTTTACCGTGATACTTTTTATGACAGTTTTTAAAACTACAATGATTTTTTCTGCTTTATTTTTTATGGTAATGATTTATACCATGATATCTTTGAACTGCAGTGTTTTTCCTTGCACTCTTTTCTCCCACCCCTTGTTTTCGTCATGTACTGTTTCATCCACAATGTTTTCAGTAGGTGCCCTATATAATACTTTAGTTAATGTTTTGTTAACCGAAGAGCGGTGGATTTACATGTCAGTCATTTGTAAGTTTTTGGCAATGATGTTATTCCTGAACTTCAAATAAGAGGATACCTAAATATAGTCAAAAGTCATTAATTCGGACACCCATAATCCGGAATGATCTATAATCCGGACCTCAAAGCTACAAACTTTCCGCGCATGCATCGCGTTGACGCATGCGCGTAAGACATTTACGGCTGCGAATACGCATGTGCGTAATATGTTTACGCTTGCGCGTTTAATGTATAACGGAGGGTATAAGCTAAGCTAAAATTATCTAATTCAGTTAATGTTGTAGATTGTGTTGTTTCTGAATCTTCGAATTGGATCCGGCTTATTATTTTTTGCAAACTGTTAGAGCAATTTTATAAAAGTAAGTTTGAACTTTCGATTATGTGAAATAGAATTTTCGATATGTATTTACTAATATGTAAAGGATCTACAAAGCGAAAGTATGTTTAGAAGTCCATCAAACAAAAAGTGGAATTGCTGCAAAAAACGGATAAAGGTATATCCTTCGTTTCTCAAACCATTCCGAAATCTGTTTATCAATTTCAAGCTGCTCTGCGGCCCGGGGCGGAAAATGCCAAAACGCCGTGGCGCGCAATGAATTGAAAGTTAATCTGTCAGCACTATCCTTATCTTCAGGGCAGATGTTTTTATTTTATTTCGCTTATAATTCGTTACTGAATGTAGTATTTCATCTCAATGTACTCCATCTTTGATATGATTTAAATCAAATTCCTCGTCATTATAATTCGCTTCTGATAAAGAAGAAAGTGATACAGAGGTTATTGAAAACGAAAAAATTTCGATTGACAAATTAGTCGGTATTCTAGACACAGCAATTATAGGACTTTAACAGCGGAACTTTGTAACTGAAGAAGAAATTATGTCTGCTTATAGAATTAAAGAGAAAGTATCACATAAAACGAAGCAACTTAAACAACTTACATTGAAAGAATGTTTAATAAAGTAAACAAATAAATATTAAGCTTTTTTTTTTTTTTTTTTTTTTTTTTTTGTAAATTTTGATACCCTTTAGATCATAATTGTTCTTTATTTCATAAATTACGGTTTCATATTTTTAATTTTATAATTTCTGCATTCCATATTACCAGATTTAAACTGATGATCTATAATCCGGAATTGCCGAAGTCCCGACGAGTCCGGATTAACGACTTTTGACTGTATAATTTTTCAGTTGTGGTATATTTAAAAAGCAATCTTAAAATATCTGTCTTGTTTTTATTAGTTTCTTGCCGCTTGCTCCTTTATTATGGTGGGTTGAAGAGTCACTTTCTGTTTCTTGCATCAGTGATGTTTACTAGCTGAAACACAGGAGAATTATATACTGAAGAATGCAATGTCATAGCCAGTAAAATTTATGATGATTTAGGTTAGAGAAACTAGATTGTAACAAGCTTGTATGTGATTTTATTTATAGTTCATTGTGAAACTTAATTACTGTCAAGTGATTAATTTTGTTATGATTTTAATAAAAATTTAGGGAGCATGGAGGAGTTATTGAAATTTGGGCAATAAGTAAAAGATATTTAAAAACAAAAAAGTTGATTATGAAATATGAACTTTGAACTTCTCTTTAATTTAAATCTCATATTTTAAAATCAATTTCATTATATTTTTCTTGCCTAATGAGATTTTAGTGATTATGCATTATGATTACATAATGATCTGCTACTATTTCTATTTTATGTTTTGTGTATTTAAATTTTTTCTTTTTAATGCCATTGATAACAATTTTAAAAATTATTATGCTCATTGCTCAGTAACTTTTTTAAGGTCTTCCAAGAAACAAAGTGTGTATAATTATGGAAGCACTTTTATGGCACATATGTTTACAAGGCATCTTGCAGCCTTCTCTTGCTGTGGCAGTTGCTTTTTTCATCTGTCCTGTAGCTTCACTCATTGTATTTTTAGGTAGAATATTTCATTATTCAAGTTCTTTGTTAATGTTCTCTCTCATTTATTGATTTAATATTATTATTATTTTATTTCTTTAATTAATTCTTTTCTTATTTTCTGTCAAGAGCATTGGTTAATGTGTGTTTTTCTCTTGCAGCTTCTATTTTGCGTTGTAGCTGTAGAATCATCTGGGATGTTGCAATGTACCATATTCTAATCAAGAGACGGGGTCGGGTGCCATCCAGTGATAGCTGGCTTGTTAAACGTATATCTGGGCCTGGTCTTTCTAATGATCATTATTTTCAAGTATGTCAAGTAACTTTCAGAAAGCATTTTCTCGTTATAGCTGAGAAATTGTACAATTTTCATTTGGTAAAATGGAAAATAAGTATTTTTTAATCAAAGATAGTGTAATGAAGTTTAAAGAACTCTCGCCATTTTTGAATGAACAACAAAACTTTACTAGTCAAAACTTACAGAATAACTCAAAAACATTTTTAAGCACGCGCATTGTCTGCGGATAATCGTCTTCGGTAATTTACATTTCTTTGTGGAAATATGTTGGTAGCGTAGCAAAGCAAATACGTTACAGTCTTAAATTCCTCCCCTCTCGGGGAACTTTCCGAAGAAAAGTTTTTTCTTTCAAATTGATGGATCTTTCAAAAAAAGTTTCAGTTTAAATGCATTAATTTTTTTTTATTTATTTATTATTATTTATTTATTTTAATTTTATTTTTTTATTTTACAAGAGAAAGATTTCCAAACCTGTACATAACAAATACAATTAGATACCTGACCAAATGAGTACAAGTACTTTAAAATAAGCATATAAAATGTAATATTCTAATATTACAAAAATTTAAACATTGAAGTTTTAAACTTCCTAGAATGTATATTTTTAGTTGTGAGATGTTTGGATACAATGACTTAAACTGTCAACATTTTGATGGTGCTTCCCCTTTCTATGTGCAACTTCATAGTTAAAAGTTGTAAGAGCAAAGCCCATCGTAATAGTCTAGGATTAGTCCCAGTGTTTTTATCCAACCATACTAGAGGATTATGATCAGTCTGAATAATGAACTTATGAAGTCCATCTAGGTAGAATTTTAACCTTTGTACTTCAAAGACAATGGCAGCACACTCCCTTTCGATTGTATGTACTTCTGTTCAGTAGGTAAAAACTTTTTGCTAAGAAATATTATTGTATGTTCTTCGCCTTTCGCATTTATCTGTGATAATAGAACACCAATACCATTATTCGAAGTGTCGCACTTAACGATAAATGGGTGAGAAAAGTTTGGACTGTCTAAGACTGGATTTTGTGTTAACCGTTTCTCAAGTTCATCAAAAGCGTTTTGGCAATCATCAGTCCAATTTATGGTTGATTTGCAACATTTTCCATTTAACAAATCTGTCAGTGGTGCAAAAATCACAGAAAATTCAGATATGTGCCTTCGATAATACCTCGCAAGTCCTAAAATTGACTGGACCTGTGTTTTCATGATAGTTTTAGGGAAGTCTTTTATGGCTTGGATTTTTATTTCTGCTGGTCTTCTTTGACCTTGTCCTACTACATGACTTAGATATTTGATGGTCGTTTGAGCAAACTGACATTTCGAAGGTTTAATATGCATTTTAGCAATTTTCATCTTTTCCAGAATAATTTCAAAGTGCTTCAAATATTCTTCTCAGGTTTGCGAGAATACCGCAACATCGTCAATATAGGGTACAGCAAATTCTTTACAGTTTCTTAATAATACTGATATCCAGCGGCTAAAATCATATGGTGCATTTTTTAGCCCGAAAGGTAACCTTAAGGGTTTAAATGTTCCAAAACTTGTCACAAAAGCAGCATAACGCTGAGCTGTTTTAGTTAGTGGGATCTGCCAGTAACCTCAAGTAAGATCTAGAACAGTTATATATCTGGCAGATGACACTTTTTACACTAAATGTTCAATGTTTAGCAAGGAAAAATATTGTGTCGTAGTTGCCTTGTTCAAGCGACGGTAATCAATTCGTGGTCTTGCTTCTTTTCCAGGAACTTCAACCAATATGAGTGGAGAGGTAAAATCCGATTCACCTGGTTCTATAACTTTGAGTTTCATCATCTTTTCTACTTCCGTTTTTAAAATCTTGGTTTGTCTGGCAGACATCTGATAAGGTTTTGCACATATTGGTCTCTCTGCTTCTAATTCTATATCATGTTCATTAAGGTCAGTACATCCTGGTTCATTAGATGTAATACAGGAATATTTGTATATCAACTGCTTTAAATCTTTTCATTGGTCTTCAGATATAGTGAATTCAACTGGATGCCTTTCAAAACTTCAGACATTTCAATCTCTGCGCTATAATTTAGACTCGATATTTCATCTTCATAGCCGTTTATCCTGTCTTCTAAACATAGCAAGTTTATATTTTCTGCTCGTTGAAAATACGGTTTCAGCATATTAATGTGGTGCACCTGAGTTTTATTTTTCTCGGGAAACTTGACTACATGATTTGTCTCTGATAACTGTTAAATTATTTTTACAGAACCTACCCATTTAACTGACAGTTTGTTTGGATAGAGCTACAACTAGAACTAAGTCTCCTTCTTGAAATTACATTCTACGGCTTTGAAATCATTGTAGGGTTTTTGTTTTTCTTTGGTTTCTTCCATATGCTGGACAGCTAGTTCTTGATATTTTTTTCCTCTTCTTTATCAAATAATTTTTCATACAATAGCATAATTGGAATTCTAAAGTTTCGGCCATGAACTAATTCTATGGACGAGAAACCAGTACTGTCATAAGTAGTCGTTCGAAGAGCAAATAAAGCCTGAGGTAAGATTTTATTCCAGTCTAAACCAGATTCTAAACATAGGACTCGAAGAATTCTTTTTATTGCTTTGTGGGTGGTAAACAGAACTTCGTACAACTTTAATTTCAAATTTTTCTAGGAAATTCAATATCAGCGCACTTGTGGAAGATGTAGCTTGGTCGGTTTGGACCTCCTTTGGAAATACCACTCGACTAAAAATTTGAAGGAAAACATCAACAATCGTGGTTGAACAAAGATTTGCAATAGGATCTGCATCCGCATATTTTTGAAGACATGCAGATTGCAGTTATAAGATACTTATTTTCGGAAGGTGTCACGAGCAGAGGCCCACAAGCATCAACATTTCTTTTTGAAAATATTTCTGTGTTAACAGGGACAATTTTCAAAGGGGCTTTCTTTTTATCTTGCGGCTTTCCAAATCTTTGACATTTGTCACAAGTTTTAACAAAATTCTCGACATCTTTGTAACAATTTAGCCAATAAAATTTTTTGAATAATGCATCTTTGGTCTTTGTTGCACCAAGATTAAATCCAAAGTTGCACCGGTATCTCTAAGTATGGGCATTTTACAGCCATTTACTTTACCTAGGCTGGTATATGGAGCCATAATATCATTAAAACTACACTCTTAGACAAAAAAAAATGACGCACCAAGAAGGTGTTATCCGAATGGGACGAAAATCGGTAGAAGTGAGGTACATGTACAGAAAAATAGATGATTACAGTTTGAGAAAAATTGGATAATTTATTGATCATCTAATTTTTCTCAAATATATATCATCCAATAAAAATACTTTTATGTATTTTTATTGGATGATAGAGCTTCACAAAGTTAAGTAATGCATTTGTCCACCTCTGGTCCTTATGCAAGCATTTATTTGGCTTGGCATTGATTGATAGAGGTTGCAGATATCCTCCTGAGGAATATCGTGCCAAATTCTGTCCAACTGGTGCGTTAGACCATCAACATCCTGAGTTAGTTCGAGGGCCCTGCCCATAGTGCTCCAAACGTGCTCAATAGGAGAGAGATCCAGCGGCCTTGCTAGCCAAGGTAATGTTCGGCAAGCCCTAAGGGAAGCAGTAGAAACATGTGCAGTGTGGGAGGGCATTATCTTGCTAAAATGTAAGCCCAGTGTGGTGTGACATGAAGGGCAACACAACGGGCCATAGAACTTTGTCGACGTACCGCTACGTTGTAAGCTTGCGACGGATGACAATCTACTATGAAATGAAATGGCACCCCACACCATCACACCTGGTTGTCGGCCTGTCTGCCGGAAGGCAGTCAGGTTGGTATCACACCGCTGTCTGAGGGCATCTCCAGGCTTGCCTTCACTGGTCATCGGAGCTCAGTTCAAAGTGGGACTCATCACTGAAGACTATTCTACTCCAGTCAGTGACATTCCAGTGCGAATGAGCCCAACACCACTGCAATGGGGCTTGACGTTGTACAGATGTCAATGGTAGTGGGCGCAAGGGGCATCGTGACCTCAGCCCCCTTTCTGTGAGCCGTCTCTGAATGGTCCTTGTGGTCACTGAAGCACTAGTTGCATGTACAATCGATGATAATGATGCATCTGGGGCTGTGAGTGCCTCTCTGACGATTGCGTGGTCTTCACATTCTGTTGTTTCTCTAGGTCTACCACTTCATTCTTGATGCTGTGTGTGGCCATGGTTCACCCATTCCTGCCAGCATTGTCTAACAGTGCCATTGCTCCTGCTCAAATGTCGAGCTATTCGCCAATAAGACTAACCATCTTCTTTGAACCCAACTACACGACCTCTCTCAAATTCTGACATTTGCGCATATCGTTCGCGCACCTGTATTCGAGGCATAGTTACTGTCTACCAGAGTACACGGAATGAAATTCGTGAAGAATTTATGACGTAGAATCATAATTTCTCCCCTTAAATATCGTGCCAGTTGTGCAGATCAGATGAGCTGTAGCAACAACCGTTCATTCATTGGCAGCTAAAATGTAAAATTTTGCATTTTCCGTCGAAACCTGTATGCATATCAATTTGTGTCCAATTTGCTTTATATCTTCTCGGTGCATCGGGGTACGTTGTGGGTTTTTTTTTTTTTTTTTTTTCTTTTTCTTTCTTTCTTTCTTTCTTCTTTCTTTTTTTTTTTTTTTTTTTTTTTTTTTTTTTTTTAAAGAGTGTATTTTTGGAAAATTCATTTGAGGGTACAGTTTTATTGAATGCTACAGTTTCTAAATTTTTGTTTAGTTTATCACACTGAAGTCGAAGATGCGAGTAGGATCCGCATTCATAACAACAAGGTTGTCTAAGTTTCTCAAATTCCTTTTTATCAATTTTATTAGAACATTCTGTCCTAATTATAGGTTTATGATTAAAATCTTTCGAGATTTTAGCATTATGTCTATTTTCATAACCACTTTGTATTTTGTTCACGTTTTGATGACTTGAAGTTTCAGACCTTGTTTTCTAGGATTTTTCCTCTTAAAGCTCTGTTTCAT